CGAATTGGTCAAACCCAAACTCAAACAAAAACATTGTCTTCAATCGTTATGAGTCTACTCATTGAATAGAATTTTATTATAAACAATTGCCTTGTAAATGGAATTTTTAAAGCATTCTGAATGTAAAAATAAAGAAAAAAGTGTGCAAGACAATAAGAAACACTACCTGCCAAAAAGAAAGTGAAGTTTTGTTTTATCGGCTGAAAAATATAGGAAATCCGCTCCTATATTTAAAGTAACCCACACACACAAACAACACGATGTGAGTTGTCCCCTTCCGAGGAACGATGTCTCTTAATCGTGTTTTCAAATTGATTTTGTGCAAAAACAATTATATTTTTTCCCATTTTGGCGCTGTTAGAACCACCACAAAGGTAATTTTATGTAATCCTGTGAAGTTTTGTTGAAATCGGTTGAAAATGTAGGAAATCCGATCCAATATATAAACGTTACAGACACACACACACACACACACACACACACACACACACACACACACACACACACACACACAATCTGCGTTTTATAATAAGTAAGATTCCAGAATCATTTTCCAACTTATTCAAGATGATCTTCTCCCTCTATAACCTTCTACCTTTCTATCCCGGAGTATCAAGGTACCACACATGTTTCGCGTACGAATTCATTTTCAAGTCTTTTTTTACTGTACTTTGGACTGTTATAACTGAAACTTCTCTATCACTATGCCAAACATCTTGTGGATTGAGTTGGATCTTTTCTAATTGATCTCGTTAGCTTTAAGTTGAAATGATGATCCCCATTGCTATTGTGACCTCCTGATCCAGTTTTCCTCTCCACTGATCCATCTTTTTTAAACTTATTCACCGTTATCTTGATGGTTTTGAATGAACTTTGAAGATGAAAGCCAGAGTATCAATGTTGGTACCATTACTGAAGGCTTGAATGGGTTTCCTCTCACTATTGCTCAGCTGAGAAAACAGTGGTTCTGACATAAAACGATTTTAACCTGTTCTCTTTCTAGTTGAATAGCTCAAAGTGTTTTTCCGTGACTCTTACGACTAACGGTATCAAGATGTCTAAACGTCTTATCTGAAAACCTGGAAAAAAGAAATTCAATTATTTTAGTGTTTTTTAGATATTAAACCTTTTTTGAGATGGACACTAATGCTGTTACACCCTATATATATAGACAAATTGAATAAAATAGACAATCGGAAAATAGTAGTTAGTCCATGCCTAATTTTCCGATCGTCTTTTTTATTCAATTTGTTTTCTCTACAGATATATTCTGAGAACTAACACACACACATATATATTATGGGAGAAAATAATATATTGGGTTGGCCAAAAAGTTCGTTCGGTTTATTAAGTAAACTTTCTATTTAATAAACGAACGAATTTTTTGGCCATGCCAATATAATTTTTTTTTCATACCAAAACAATTCATGATAAAATGAGAAAATGTCTTAGTGTCACAGGTTTTGTCCTTTAGGACTTCATCGAACTAATGTAGTTTACTTTGATGTACCTACACATGCACACGAAGGGGAGGAGATACTGAAATTTTAAACTTTATTTTATTTTTTTAATATTCTTTTTTGTGTATATAGTCTAGTAGATTTCATTTAGTTTTTTCTTTTTGTTTATATTTTTTATCGTTTTTATTAGGTGTCGCACATTGTGATAATAGAAGATCTGCCAAGAAATGTGGAATGTTGTCAGAACCTGGACGTAAATTTAACGTGGAATATTTACAAATTAAAGCGTTTTCTATATATTTAGTAAATTGCTTAGTAAAGTAGCATATTTTCAATCGAAATTATCGTCAGACATATTACAGCGAGCAACTAATGCATTGAGTGTGCCATGTAAAAGATGTTTTTGTCTTCATATAATCTTTTATTTAAATTTCTCGAGGTTTCTCCTATGTATCCTTCGTGAAGATGAGTACAGGGGATAAATTCCACCGTCAAGATTTATCTTACTATTTTGTTTTATATTAAGTCTTTTATTTTTTTAGAAGCAGCTGTAACAAATTTTAAGTTAAGCTTAGACAAATTCTTAAATTGTAGTTGTGATAGTCAGTAGGTAGAATAATAATATAAAATAGATAATAGAATAATAATATATTTGAATTGGTTAGGTTTGTCAGAATGATTCACTTCTGTTTTTAAATATTTTACGAACCTTTCGTTTTGCCTTAAATATGAAATAATTAGGATGTTGGAGGACGTTAAAAGTATTTTCAACATATTTCTTCTCTTCATTGAGGGCTACAGATTCTGAGTGGTCTTAAATAGAACCCGATAATTAATTACAGATTTTATTTTGTTGTTATGGTGAGAATATAAATTTATGAGATCACTTTTATTCGTTGGTTTGCGATGTACATTCAGTTTTAGGTCATTGTGGGTACGATGTAACATCATATCTAGTAAAGGTAAAGTGTTATTTGTTTCTGTTTCATAAGTTAATTCCATCGAATTTTGTTAGTTTATCTACAATGTCAAGTAATGTAGTTTTTATATTAATAAATCGTCATCAATATATCGAAAATATGTTGATGTATAATACTCTGGAAAGCACCAGAATCAAGCAATTCTAAGAAAATATACGCTAAATTCCATTTAAAAGCGAACCTTTATTCCATTTAAAAGCAAACCTATTGGTAATCCAAATGTTTGTTTATAAAAAGTTATTAAAGGTGTATGGTGATGAGTCGGCAAATTTATATGATTTTAGCCATTGATGAGGAGAGGTTTATTTTTGCATGTGTTACATACTTTTTAAAAAAGATTTAAGCTTTTCTTTACAGGAAAATTGGTATAAAGGAATTTAACATCTAAACTAGTCATGAGATGATCTGCCATATAATAATCTCCTTAGTTTTTGCAAACTGCCTTAATTTTTAACATGTAATGGACAGATTGTTCCAACGAGAAATGTTCAAATTTTTCTCATTGATTTCTTCAGGTTTTGAAGAGCGCGACCAATAGCTGACATAATGGGACGCATCGATACACTTGCTGTGTGGGTTTTTGGTAGACCATAAAGTTTGGGTATTCTAGGGAGATATTCTGTTAGTTTATCCATTTGTTTTCAATACTAACTACCTTTCTAATAGCTTTATTAAATTTCTCTGCTTTTGTATATATATATATATATATATATATATATATATATGTGGGTGGGTGAGAGAGAGAGATAGAGAGATTTGTCAATATTTGCACAACTCAAATATATATTATTATTGAACTCAGATTCATATTGATCTCAGAAGCCAATTAGCAAAGATTTTCTTATTTTTCCATTATAATTTGTTCCTTATAAATTATTCTACAATAAGTTTGGATATTCTGTGAATTATATCTGTACATTTTTCTTTTTCTTTCTTCTTTTTTTCTTTCTTCTTTTTTCTTTTTCTTCTTCAATGTCCGCTGTTTAGCGGACATTGAAAAAGACTTATTTATACTCGATTCTCTCAAATTAAGTTTTACTTTCCTTCGCATTTCGTCGGTTCATGATTTCTTTATTCAAATATCGAAGTTTTTTCTTTTCCGTTGAATCGTATGCGCGTAAAAGAATTGTCAAAACGTCATTTCAAAACGATGAGAATCTTTTTCGTCTCACGATCTAGAAAGTAACATTAACGACAGTAATTTTCACAATTTCTTACCATTAACTTAAATCCTTTCTTCGGCTATGATGCATTTATTTCTGTTTGGTGGGGTAATGGATAGCGGATCGGGTTGAAGAATCGGAGAGACGAATTCGAATTCCAGCCGAATCAATTACATTCACTTACGTGCTAATACCCTTCGGAAAGGTATAAATCCTCTTCTTCTCCCTTAGCTATGGGTTAATAGCAGGACAGACTGAATTCTATATCCTTGTGTGGCATCTGGTCTACCGCAAAAAGAAATGGCAACTTACTGCCGGAGAAATCTACCTCGTCAGTCATGTATCGAAAGATACATGATCGCTTAAGCGTGTATCACGCATGGCGCATAACTGATATATTAAAAGGAATTGCATCTTATGAAAAATAAAACGCACTTTTAGACAGAAAACAAAATTTCTTAACTTGATAATTCTGTACCTATGACAATTAAACTAAAAAGCTTTCCCTGCTTGGATCTGAGAGTCTAAAAATAAAACGAATATAAACAAAAAAAGCGTAATGAAAGTTTATTTTCGCTTTAATCATTAATAACAAGATTTCAAAAAATATTCTGTTTTTTTACAAGTTTTTAATCAAATACGGAACATTCGATATATCTGTAAATTCCTGCATCTTTGACTCAGTTTTCAGATATTTAGTCACTATCAAGATTCGGTACTAATGACATATATTATGATACAACAAGAAACAGATAAAAGGATTAAAAATAAAAAAAACAGGAACTTGTAAATTGATCATGAAATTAATTCCATTGGAAGTAGCAATAACGAGATGTGAAAGAAACGTGACACCAAGTCACCAAATAATACTGTCTTAGGTCGACAAAACATGAGGTCAAAAATGAAATATGAAGCGAAATCAAAGACAAGAAAAGAAAAAAAAGATTTCACCTGCTAAAATAAAGATTATGTGTCCCTGATTTGCGTGTTTCAGGAGGAAACAAAAGTTGCGGACCCAAATTCTCATTTCCGAGGTCAGGGGTCTTTTTTTAACATGAAAAAGAATCTCGACTCGACAGATACTTGTGAATGGTTTTAAAAGATCGTGAAACCAGCGCTGCAAAATGTGTGCCCTCACCCCCCGGCTACTGGCTTAACAAGTCTACGTTAGATTTTTTAAGTCTTATTTTCAGTTGTTTGAGACACAGCTACTGCCACATATGTAGATTTGTAAAGATGGCAACAGATCTTCGTCATGTGCATTTACCTATAATGTAATAATTATCAAGTTTCTCTCACACATCAGTTTTATTAAGTAGGGAATTTAATGTAAATTGGGTGCCTTTTGTCAAAAACTAAGCTAAACTTATTAATTAATTTCATATAGTCACCGGACTTATAGCACTTGGTATTCCCAAGCGGACACCCATCTAAGTCCTGACCAGTCTCCACGTTGCTTAACTTCGGTGACCAGACGAGAACCGGCGTGTTAAACGTGATATTGGCGTAGGAGGCACGGTGGAGTAATTGAGGATTGAAGAATCGGAGAGCCGAGTTCGAATTCCATTCGAATCCATTACATTCACTTACATGCTAAGACGAGAGAAGAGGATTCATACCTTTCCCAAGGTATGAATCCTCTTCTTCTCTCCACCAGCTATGGGTAAAAGGACAGACCGAGCTCTATAGCCTTGGATGGCAACTGGTCTACTGAAGAAAGAAATGGCAACCTACTGCGGGAAAAAAATCTGCCTCGTCAGTCATACATCGAAAGATACATGATCGCCTAAGCGTGTATCACGCATGGCATATAACCTGACTGAGTCATCGGACAAATATGGATCAAACCGAAATATATATTTTTTCTGAAGAAAGAAAACATTGCGGACTTCATTCTTCATTCATATAAGCTTTGATCACATTCGAAAGTCTTTCTCATAATCTAATATTAGTTTCTATTTAATTTTAAAACATTTCTGTTTCACAGAAGAGGGTGGGGAATGATTTAACGCCAAGAAAAATAGAGAATCAGAAAAAATAATGCCCAAAATGTGAATGTTGTCCCCTCAGGACATAGATGATTATAGCTCTCCACTTCCTGTCTTATGTAGTTCTTAATAAATTTTGTCTTTTTGTTATTTCTACTTAACCCTGTTCCGCCATCCATTTACCCAAGTTCCCTATGTTATGTGTTGTTTTCCTCTGTCCCTCTTGTCCCCACTCTCTCTCTCTCTCTCTCTATCTCTCTCCCCCCAGTATATATATATATATATATATATATATATATATATATATATATATATATATATATAGCCCTAAACAGCACGGACGTCATACCTAAGGTACCTTTCAGCGAAAACTTTTTCAAATGTATTCGTTGGCGATTGGGAATACAAATGAAGCCACACTCAATAAAGTAAATGAGGAGGGGAAACGGTGGAACGTGATTAAAAAAGAAATTTTAATGACACAAAATTGAAATTGAATAAGGGTTGATGAAAATAACCAGTTCCACAAGAGTATAAAATAGAAAAAGGACATTCACAAACTCTCCAACAGATGCAAGGGATGTAAAAAAAATGTTCCTTTTGTCTACACAGGCTTGGCTGTTGACACTTTATTAAAACAGTTTCAGAGACTAGAAGATGGTGTATTGAGCGAGCACTGTGTAAAACTGAAAACCACGTTCTTCATATTCAGAGGCACAAGCCTGAGTAGTTCTTTTTATAGGTTGGCTAAGACTACAAGAACGCAAAAAGGCGGGAACATGCTGCGCAACCCGCGTCTCCAACCTTAGATTGATTCGTCTTATGTACACCGCGTCACAACGGCATTTGAATTTATAAGCAACTAAATTTTTATGAAAGTAGGACAACCTTTAGTAAAAGACGGAAACACAAGTCTAGTCTGAAAAACTGTGCGCAACTTCAGCGCATTATAGCAAGACGAAATAGTTGCCGAAATTCTGTCAGATACTAACTGACATTTCCTACCGAACGAAAGTAATTTTAAATAGATAGGGGCACTGACTAGGTCCAAATGCCGCAGGTTCATTAAACCGCCTGATTTTGCTATCAATAACACGTCTGATAACATTGATGGGATATCCATTACTTTCGAAAATATTTCGAATTGTAGTAAGTTCACCATCTAACAATTCAGGGGAACAAATCCTGATAGCACGATGAACCAAAGTCGCAATCAGACCAATCTTGCGAGACTTAGGCAGAAGCGAATTCCAGCTAGAGTTATAGTCCAGTAAATGTGGGGTTACGAAAAACATTGGTAACGAAAGCCCCGTCCTTGTGTTCAACAAGGACATCCAAAAAGGGAAGTGCCCTATCCTTCTCAACCTCTATTATAAACTCAAGGGAAGGATGGAGAGAATAAAGTTGAGCCAGAAAAATTGTAGCATCTATGGCAGAATCAAAGATAGAAAAAGTGTCATCCGCATATCTCATATAGACACAAGGTTTTGGGACATTTTCAGACAGGATTCGCTCATAATAGCCCACGAAAATATTGGCTAAAACCGGGCCCAATGCACACATACATCCTCTTCACGCAAACACACACACATCCTCTTCACTCAGATCCGACATTCTTGGGTGTAACAGCAAAATTGTCCAATTGTTACATTAAGCTTTGAACTATTGTATCTTAAAAATGTTCTGTGGGTATCAGATTTACGAAGCCCTCTTTTCTCGTTATGTGCCCTAGAAACCTCAACTGTCTCTTCCTGATGTTAAATATGTTTTCTTTTTTTGTTTTTTGTTTTTATTATTGCTTATTTTGCAGTATGGTTACATTAAAAAAACAAATTTATTTTCAAAGACATCTGTGTTCTTTTTGTTTCCATTTTCTATAAAACTTCGTAATTGGTCCATGACATCCTTCCGTAGAACCACATTTCTGTTGCTTCAAGTCTCTTCATCTTTGAAGAGATAGTCCAGCACTTACTACAATATTCCTACGTTCTTGAATTTGACGTATTTGAAGCGAAGTAAAAGCCTGTAGGGGAATTATAACTCTGAGTCAATAATTACGTTTATATATACAAAAAATACCCGTAAAATGAGAAAACAGCAAGACGTGGAAACAACAAAATGAGTTTTATTTATTATCTGGTTGTTATGTAGTGTTCAAGACACGAGAGACAGTAATACTGAGTAAAATTGTTAGTTTGGGGTGAAATGTAGATCAAATATGGACAGAAGTATAAAATAAAGAATAAGTAAAGTGTATACAGTCTTTCTCTTATGTTTTTTTTATTATTGATGTCTGTAATGAGTGTCCAGATAATATAGTTAGAAAATATAAGAAGTGTCTGAGGTTTTCTTTTCTTTACTACTAAAAGTTACTATTATGGACTGAAAAATGAATGGAATTTTCCTTGACACACGTGTTAACGACCTGTCTGTGTAAACTGCTTGTCCGATAATGAGAATGTCATGTGTTTGTGTGTATGTAGAGAGAAAAGTGTGGTCGATTCTCATTGGTTTAGAATGAATTAATTAATGATAATTATTATTGTTATAATTACTTTTAACACTATAATCAATTTTTTTTTTTTATTTTTTATGGACACAAGCCATAATCCAGGTTGAAGCAAAACACGAAAAATATAAAATGTAGACTCTAAATTTAACATCCATGCCATTTAGGGATTCATTATCAACTTATTTTACGTTTCTTTTCTTTTGTTTTTTTTTTTTGTTTTTGTTTTTTTTTTTTTTTTCTTCTTTTCTTTCAAGTGAAACGCACATAATGTTTTCGGTAGTCTATTTGCCTGTCAGTATAGAATTTCGGATGTTTATAAAATCAAAGACCATCTATTTTTCATTACAAGCATTTCTTTACTTGTATTTATTTTCTTTTTGCTTACATCGTCATCTTCTTTCTCGATTCTAGAGAAGCGGCAAATATAATTCATTGTCCACCACATTTAGTCACGCTTCAAACAATATTTACACGCTTATATTTACTTTGTTTCTTCTTCTCTCATCATCATATGTTCGGAAGAAGAAACATATTTCTAATTAACTTTCTTTGCAATCATCTTTAAATACTCTCTCCATCTCTCTATTTCCCTTTCACACACACACACACATATATATATATATATATATGCACATCACACACACACATATATATATATATATATATATATACACACACACACACACACACACACACACACACACACACACACACACACACACACACTGAAAAATAAGCCAGTCCATTACATTCTGACCAGTGTTTCGGATTTTAAACAAAATAACAAAACAAAATAATCCTGGCACATACAGAAGGGAAGTACAAAATGTGTGTATATATTTGAGAGAGCGTTCCCTGTTGATTGAAGAGAGGAAGTGGGGTGACTCTTTTACTCGTAGGAATGACAGTTACCTACGTGATAAACATACATACGTGCCCTTTGAAAATACACACACACTATATATATATATATATATATATATATATATATATATATATATATATATATATATATATATATATAGGGGGGTGATGTGATGTGTGTGATGTGTGTGTGATGTGATGTGTGTGATGTGTGTGTGTGTGTGTAGAATGATTACAACTTGCCAAAACAAGACCTACCGTCAGAGGTAAGCTCGGTCTGACATCAAAGACAGCCGCCAGGTAATCTGATACGGTCATTTGTATACAAACAGCGACATCGGCTAAAGTTTACACGAGCTCACCACATTACATTACTTTAATTTGGGGGCTAAGGCCGGGTCGTCTTGTTTAGGCCACCTACTTACCTTCAAGAGAGCCGCCCCAGGTTCTAAGTGAACGTTTTGACTTTTTACTTAAATTTCCTTCTAATGCAGACAAAAAGCTATATTACAGCTTTTCAGTGACTCACCCTTTACATACAAAATATTTATACACCCCCTCCACCTCAACACACATAGAGGCACCTTTTTCTCTCCCCCATCCACCTCAACACACCTTTTTTTTTCTCACGTTATTCATTTCTGTACCTTTTTTCTCGAAGCTTCAAACATTATTTCTCTTGTCAGTTTTTTTCTCTTAATTTTGCGCAAACACATTTACGTACAACGTAGACAGGAAATGCGTGAAATACACAACGCACAATAAATACATGTAATACATCTCTAAAATTTATTAGGCGATCATGTATCTTTCGATACATGACTGACGAGGCAGATTTTTTCCCGCAGTAGGTTGCCTTTTTTTTCTGCGGTAGACCAGTTGCCATCCAAGGCTATAGAAACCGGTCTGTCCTGCTATTTACCCATAGCTTCGAAGAAGAGGATTCATAATTTTCCCAAGGGTATTAGCACGTAAGTGAATCTAATGGATTTGACTGAAATTCGAACTCGGCTCTCCGTCTCCTCAATCTGAGCCACTGTCCATTACTACACCGTGCCTCCCAAAAGATGTTTACAAGGAATTAATATTACAGTGTAATCCGGATATAAGAGACCCGGATATAAGAGAAACCCGGATATAAGAGA